GCATTTTTACTAGTCAGGGAGCTACCAGAGTGCCACTAGAAAATTTTGACTGGAGGCAAGGTCCTTGGGAGTTGATGGAAACCCTGGAAAAGGATTTTGAAGTTCAAGAAATAAAGGAAGCTATATTCTCTTTGGAAAGATCCAGAGCCCCAAGCCTAGATGGCTTCACGATGGCTTTCTTTCAAGATTGCTGAGAGATTGTGGGTGCTGATTTAGTTGAAGTTTTTGTTGAATTTTTTGAAATGGGAAAATTCAACTCAGGGGCAAATGCCACCTTTATCACTTTGATCCCTAAGACCTTAGATGCTTCCCACCCAAGAGATTTTAGACCCATCAGCCTTGTGGGTAGCATGTACAAAATTGTCTCCAAGGTGTTAGCTGAGAGGATTAAAAAAGTGCTTCCCTCCTTAATCTCTCCAAATCAAGGGGCTTTTGTGTTTGGAAGACAAATAATAGACCAAATCCTTATTGCAAATGAGTGTGTGGAGTTTAAAAAACGGAGAAAGGAAAAAGGGCTAGTTTGCAAATTGGATCTGGAGAAAGCCTAAGACTTGGTGGATTGGGATTTCCTTCTGGAAGTGCTAAGGTTGAGAGGTTTTGGAGCGAGATGGTGCAAATGGATAATGGGTTGTGTTTCCTTCTGTCACTATTCCATTTTGGTTGACGGGGTTGCTAGAGATTTCTTTCTAGTTAAAAGGGGCCTTCGACAAGGTGACCCCTTTTCCCCTTTCCTCTTCACTCTAATAGCATATGTGTTTAGCGATTTGATTTCAAGGGATGATACCAATAATCTGATATGAGGTTGGAGAATTAGGGGGAATAATGTGGTGGTTACCCATTTACAATTTTCAGATGATGTTCTAATCTTTTGCGAAGGAGAAAGGGAGGAAATGACAAATTTGCAAAGTATGGTAACCCATTTTGAAAGGATTTCCAATTTCAAAGTAAACTGGAGCAATAGTTGTGTAACAAGATTAGATAGGGAGAGAAGAGAGGTTGAAAGCCAAGCTAGTTTGCTGAGTTGTGTGGTAGGTGGCTGGCCTCTACAGTACCTTGGACTACCCTTTGGGGGGGAACCTGACTATAGTTAGCTTCTGGGATCCAGTAGTGGAAAGATTCATAAAAAGACTTGCTGGATGGTAGAGAGACTACATATCTCTAGGGGGTAGAATAACTCTAATAAAGTCAACTTTGACTAATCTGCCAGTCTATTACCTCTCAACCTTTTAGATCCCCATAAAAGTGGCCAATAAATTGGAGAAATTGATGAGAGACTTCTTGTGGGAGCCAGGGGACACAAAAAAGGACCATTTGGTAAAGTGGGAGGTGGTCTCAAGGAGTAGGGATAGTGGAGGCCTAGGGTTAGGAAGCATCAAGCTTAAAAACATGGCTTTATTGGGTAAATGGCTGTGGAGGTTTCCTTTGGAACAAGAGAACCTATGGCATAATGTAATTGTAAGCATTAATGGCATGGCAGACAACGGATGGGACGTTGGTCTTGATCCTAGGGCAACAAGGGCTTCTCCATGGAAAGAAATTCACGGATTGCTACCTTCTTTCCTTCCGCTGGTCAGGTATGATGCTTGTTTGGGTAATAAAATTCGTTTCTGGGAGGATATTTGGCTTGGAGATATTCCTCTAAAAGACAGATTTCTACCTATTTATGCTCTGCCCCTCAACAAAGGGAAAGTGATTTCTTCAGTGCTTGGTAATGAAAATTCTTGGGATCTAGGTTTAAGAAGAGGGTTGAGTGGATCATTAATTGGGCTTAGTAGATGAACTAATCTCACTTCTTAATACTGTTTTCCTGGACCTATCTTGTCATGACAGCAGGATCTGGTTAGAGTCCCCCTCTGGCTTTTATACCTGTGCCTCCTTTTTCTCCGCCCTCCATTCCTCACACCTAGGAGGTTCTTTTTCCACAAAGGAAGTTTGGTGTAGTCCTGTACCCCCAAAAGTAAGAGCCTTTTGTTGGGAGGTGGTGCTTCAGAAGATTAATACTCTGGATAATATACAAAAAAGAAGGCCGAATCATTGCCTCTCCCCTCAATTTTGTTGCCTTTGTATGGGAAATGGTGAGATAGTAACACATCTTTTACTTTCTTGTCCCTTTGCATCTTGTGTATGGGATTGGTTTTCTTCCTTATTTGGCTGCAGGTGGACTACTCCCCCGGTTGTGACAAGTCTTTTCAACCCAAGTTTCTTCCGACTTTCAAAGAAAAGGGGAAGAGTGATGTGGAGGGTAACAAGAGCAGCCATTCTTTGGTCTTTATGGGAAGAAAGGAACAACAGAATATTCAAAGGGGCACAAAGATCAACAGAACAAATCATTGATTGTGTAGCCATTAAAGTCATACATTGGCTGAAAGTAAGTGATTTATTTAAAGATTTTTCAGTGGATGATATACAATGGGGCTGGTCAGCAGTGGCAAATTCTTTAACCAGACAATCTATCTTTCAGCCCTCTTGGACACCAGCAGCACAACCAAGGGTAAAATTGAATTTTGATGGAAGATCCTTGGGTAATCCAGGACCCTCGGGAGCTGGGGGAGTTTTTAGGGATGGGGAGGGCAGAATGGTGGCCCTATACTCTGGTCCCATAGGAGTGGGAGACTCTTTGAGAGCTGAAATTCTGGCTCTCCTACAAGGCCTGAGATTTGCCAAGCAATGGGAGTTTCAGAACTTGGAGGTGGAAGGAGACTCTAAATTGTTAATAGGGTGGCTGCAAACAAAGAATTTGGGTTAATGGAAGGTTCGACAGCAAATGAGGGAATAATCTTCTTGGCAAGGGAAGTTGGAGTAACATTCAAATGGGTAAGGTGATCGGCAAACTCTGTGGCAGATAGCTTGGCAAAACAGGGGATCTTCAGGGAAAACTTAGTACTGTAATTCTTGATGTTATTTTGGGGTCAACACTCTTTGTCTGAGTGGTTGACAGTGTAAGATGCTTATTTAATATTGTTAATGAAAGTTACCGTTTTCAATAAAAAAAAGAAGAAAAATGTGAATGTATTCTGTTTTGCGTGTTTTATTTTTCTAGGATCCCAAATGTTGAATGTATGCTGTAAGTAGTTACAGCCTTCTAGAAGAAACCCTAATCGGATTGGTCGTGAAAGAAAACCCTAATCAGATCTTTCTCAGTTTCCCTGCTCTGATACCATGAGAAAATATGGTATTAGAGAAGCATAGAACAATAAGAACTGAAGGAGAAAGGAAGAATGAAAGAGAAGAGAGTGGAGAGAAACTGCGAACCTGATTAGGGAGAGATTAAAATGTCTTTAATCCTCTCTAAGTAGTTTGCCCAGCCTAATATTAATTTTAAATAAAATGCAGAATTACAGATGTGCCCTTATTTATGAAAAACAGTGGATTGGAGTGTCCTTAACATAAGACAAAATTACTTAACTACCCTGCCACCCAAGTACACCCAAAATAATGCTCTTTTATTAGTCTCAAACAATTCAAATTGATAAGCTGAAAACAATATGGAGACAAGTTCTCTCTTAGTGGCCAATTCTGACAGGGATGTGTAGGTTATTGGATCGATCCCAATTGAGGTCTTAAATAGACTCCTAGAGCTTCTCAAGCCTGCCCAATTGAATACCAGAGTGAGAAGGAAAACTGCTGAACACAGTTCTCCAAAATTGGCAATGAATCTCTCCATGCGATTGGAGAGGTTTAGTCTAACCGTGACTTTCCTAGTTTAGCTTAAATTCAAATAGAACTTGGCAAGTTTCAGTAGTATCAATGAATCTTAGCAAAAAAGGGAGTAAGAATAGGCATGAGATCTATAGTAGTCTAGATTGGAGCCAAAACAGGAGAGCTCCTTAGTCCTAACCCTGAGATCAAATCTCTAGGATGGGACCTACTATAGCCAAACTCTCCTTTAATTCAATGGAGAATTCTCACCAAGCAGAAGGGGCAACTAGTGAGCCCATTAATGTTTGACATTAAATGGTTCAGGCTTAGCCTCTCAGCCCACTCTCCAAGCCCAAACAATGGTCCAACCTGAAATGTGACCAACAGGTATTGGGCCTAATAAACACTTGCATGCTAATCCTTCTTTCATTAATACCAAACACTGTAATTTGGAAAGATTTATTCCCTACTCTATAAAATACAGTGTTATGTTTTCCTCCGTGATGGAATTCCAGGAAAAAAATATTTTGCGAACCACTTTAGGAAATAAACTGTTTATTAATATGGGATCTTGAGGGCATACAGTGTAACATTTGCCCCATATCAGAGATTGCCTACTGACTTGTTGGGCTATAGAGTCAGCCAGAGAATTTGCAGATCCAGGGCCAGTCTAAAACATCTGCCAGTACTTCTCACCAAATGTCTTGCTTCCTTTATGAGATGCCTTAATTGCAATGGACCTTCAGTTTTTCCTTTCATCCAACCAATAATTGCTTTAGAATTCCCTTCTACAATCAGATTTTGTGTTCTAAAGATCTAGCCAATGTGAGCCCTTGCAGCAAAACTTGAAGTTCTGCTTTAATAAAATTTCCTACTCTTATATTTGTTAAAGATAAGCAATGAAATGTCACTCCTGTGTCTCTAAAATATCCTCCAACACCTGATTCACCTGTGGATTTCCCAAACCGCATGCATCAAAATAGTATTATGAAACATTGATTTTGTATCTTTTGTATATTTGGCCATACTTTTGTAAATTGAGGACATGCTATTTTGAATGTTGATCATACATAAATACATTATGCCTTAAAATCATGCATGCATGCATTTTTTTGATAGTTGTCATGCATGCGCATTCATACATCCTTGAATGTGTCTTATAAATCTGAACACTCAAATTATACATTATTTCCTTTTACTTTGTCCCTAAGCTACTTGCTCATGTGGTCTGTTGTTTATATATATATTTTGAAAGATATCTGCTGTTTTTTTATATTACTAACATGGTTATTTTATTTCATTATTTGTTTGCAATGTTGTTTCCCACTGAACCTTAATTCTCTTTATATTGAAAATATAAGGTTGACTACAACTTGTACGGCATGGGCCATCTACATCTAGCAAAGGTTAAATTCCGCCATCCACTGCCTGAGACATTCATCCCAAGGGTAGCTTGGTACAATGGTCAACATAAAGAAAAGCCCACTTGCATTTCTGTTAATTTTCAGGTTATTTTTTCTGAGTTGAAAGCCAATAGGTTTAGCCATTGATTTTATTAGGTATATTTGATAGTGTAATAATTTGATACTGTTAAACTTTTTTGTAGGCAGATTCAGGTGATGATGCATCTCTAGGTTTACCTGTTTGGATATCCTCCAAGATTCCAAGTGGTTGGATGTGGCCATATCCTACTGAAGTTGACACTTCATTTGATCAGGACATTCATCTTATAAAGCGCCAAAGTACTTGTGAGCTCGAGGGAGATGCTACGGTGGATGGTATGTTTTCACAAATGTGTGGCTTAGGTTTCCACGCAATTTCTAGGTGAGATCAACATAACATTGCTAATTATTTTTTGATCTTGCAGATATCTTAAACCAACAATTTAAACTTTACTCATCCCTTTCTCAGACACGTTCAGAGGTGAAAATGGTTCAGTCACTTATACCAATTTGGGAGGTCTGTTTGTTCACTTGGTGTTCTATAACAATTTGTAATCCATTTATTTATTTGTTTGTTCCATTGATTAACATAACCTTCTCTGGTTTAGGAAGAGTATGAAAGAACAGGGTTGCATGAGACAGTGATATCTCCTGATCCTAGAAAACCGCTTCCGGAAATTACTCTGAGAGTTCTTTCCCATGGGTTTGAGTTTGAGAGCACATTCATGGATCTCTGTAGGAAAGCAGAAAACTTGTCATCTTCTCAAGTTGCTCCAGTGGAGGAGGCTGAAAAATTTGTCCACTCTATAAAACCATTGGCAGAGGTGGGGAATTTAGTTGGATTTGGGGAGAATGGTAGCACAGATAATTCTCACAAGGAATCTTTGAAGTGTACCAAAGACAGAAATATTAATGGGTTGCTTATATCACAACGATTCTTGCATAAAGAGAGTAATCATGACGAAGGAAATGAGATACATACCAAAGAAAGAAACATTCTTCTGGATCAACTACCTGTTGATGATGAAATACTATCATGTGAGATGATCAGAACATCAGATTCAAAAGTAATCTTGTTTCTCTTTATCCCTATTTACTTTCATGTAGATGCTTATTTTTCTTTGAGCGTATATCATATCCAGGCAACTTTCATATGGTCATGCTTGAGTTACCATATTTGGCTTTGTGCAATATATATATTTTTTTGTTGAAATTAATGATCTTGTTCTCTGGCACTAGCCTCACAACTAGTTTTCTTATGCAATGGATGTGTTTACTTTGTGGTCTGTCCAAGGATAATTGGGAACCCTTGGATTTCTTCTCCTATTCTTCTTTCTATCTTGGTTGTGGAGTTATCTTCTCAATCTTTAACCAATCATAGTATTTTCTTGAGATTTTTGTGATATAACCTGTTTCATGCCTTCATCAGTTTCTTATATCATTTCGTGGGTTCTCAGATTGTAGATGAGGAGGCTATGGGGCTTCTAAGGTGGCTTGCCTCTTCTCAAGTTGCAGAGGATTTGAACACTGAAGATGAACTTCTTCATGAGTCTATTCTGAGTACCTTCTTACCCACAACTTCGATGGATAAAATTTTGGAGAAAGCTAATTTGGAATATGAGAGTGAGTCACAGCAAGAATGTCAGGACATACTTGATTCGGTTGATAATGTGATTGAAGATTTAGATGATCTTGATCAGAATCATTTACCTCAGGCTTCACTGAAGAATATAATTCCACAAATGGATGGGTCATATGATGATCATTTCACTATTGTCAGAACGGAGACAAATGTTGAGTTGGAGAGATCTTCTCCTGATGAAGTAGTTGAAGACACTGACATAGGCCTTGGCGGTGAATGCAAAAGGAACAAACCGGTATGGGGATCTTTACCTTTTTCCACCCTACCTAAGGCACAAACTGATGTAGAGCTTCCCAGGTTCAGTTTTGCTGATACATCTAGTGAAGAAATAAAAGATGGTACAGACAATTTTCCTTTTTCCGGAAAAAAAGCAGAAAATTGTTCTGATGCTTCAGTGGCTAATGCAAATGCAAATATCACTCATTTGCAAGAAGGAAATACATTGACTGGATGTTCACTGAGAGATCTGATGAGGAGAAAGCGGTTCTACCAGGTTGAACCATCTGAATATGGGGCTTGTAGTGTTCAGAAAATGCCTTCAGGAAAGGGGCAAGAAGAGGAGAAACAGAAGGGAAGGATATTTCTGGGTTCAAAGCAACTAGAGTTTCAACAGCTACAGAATGATAAGAAAGCCATGGCTAGGAGTAATCAGAAGGCAGAAGTTTTTGACAGGAATTCCTGTGTAAGAACTTGTTTATCAAAGGTATATTATGAAGCGTATGGAGTCAGAGTTGCACATTCTTTCATATATACATAAAATTACTCCTGTGTTGCAATGATAGGTCATTGCTAGAAAGTACACCTAAATATCAACATATTTTCCTTGCCAAAGGCCCTGTTGATGGCGCATCAAGGTTTCTGTTGAATCCAAAAGCTTCACAGGGTCTTCCAGTGTTAAAACAATGAAAGCACTGATGTTGAAACTAGACATAGTAGTATCTAATGCCTCTTATGAGTTGTAATTTTAAAATGTAATCTTGTTGTTGTGGAAATTTGATTGAGCTTTGTATTTTGTGATGCCTATAGTTGCAATTCTGATTCTTTATTGCTAATTGTTTCTTGAAATTTGACATGTATGATTACCAGTCTCTTGGTGGGCGATTGGAACAATGTAATTCTTGTGGTTCGAGCTGTTTGACAAATTCTGTCAAACGTGGAAAGTTTTGTGAAGGTAGTTGTAGTGAAAAGAATGATAATGAAGCTATCGTTGACATGGAATCAGTACCTGAAATGCATACCGGGAATTTCGAAAATATAAATGTTGTAGCTGAAGCAACTGTTCTGCAGAGAGAGGACCTTGGCAGTGGAGGAAAGGACATTCAAACTTGTTTATATCAGTCTGAGAAGGGAAGCAAAGGGCATGGTGAATATATTGAGATGACCTTTAGCATGAAACCTCCTGTTATAGATTGGACTGATTGGATATACAAATATACTCCATTGACATCCCCTGTGCATAATAATGCTTTTCTCAGGGACAAAGACGCTTGTGAAGAAGCATTGGCTTGTGAATCCAGTTTAACTGAATGTATGTGGTAGCATTTTTCATCTCTTTACAGCAGCCTGCTTTGTTTCTACCTTTATTTTTTGGGGTTAAAGCTTTTTATTTTCATATTTTCAAATTCCTGATTTATTTCTACTATAGTGTTTTTGCTGTCTAAGCATCTTCGTTAAAGTAATTAATTTATTTTGGCAAGTTAATGAACATGGCTAGTGATAAGGGAATATAATAGTGAAATGTTAAGACTAATTTTCTTATGGTTTTGTGATATGAAAATGCATAGTAATTTTAGGTAATATTGATGTGACAGTTAACAAAGAAGAACAAACTCTTGTGGCATGCATGGATTGAAAAGTGTCTATTGTTCCTGGGGTTTGTAGTATGTAACGCCTCTATGAGATCACCTCACCTATCTTGAACAAATAATGCAGGTTCTTAATATCTAGCACCAGCAAGGCTAAGCTACTAAACATTTATCTGGCATGCTTAGACTTGTTTTTTGTTCTTTTGCTTTGCTAATGGTGCAAAGAATTCTAACTCATTGTTATCAAAATAAAATGGACTTTCGTATCATTTGGTATGCCCTTAAGAGGACATTTTTTCAACATTCTATAATGATTTTCTAATGTTTTTTTTTTTGTCTCGTCTAGGATTTAATATTGTATAATCTTACTTATGGGATGTCCTGATGTATTACGAATTTTCATTTTAGCAAATGATCCAATCAAATGCATGCATTTCTAACTTTTGGTTTCGTACAAATGAAAGATTTAGCTTTATACTTAAAAGGAACCTAGAATATCAAGGGAATGATTAGATAATTGGTTTATATGGAACCTGTTGGGTTGGGACCACAAGGAATAAGGATGTGGCCCAAAATTTACAAGTGTGATATTTCCATTGTTCATCAAAAGAGGAGTCCTTTTTGAATAGGAAGGGCTATCAAGACTTCCTAAATCCCTTCAACTAGTAGTGGTGTCTGTTGACTATGTCTTAAATTAGATTTGGTAGTTGGGGTAGGGAAAGGGCAGATGATAGTTTATATTGTTGAGAATACATTGTCTTTTAAGAGCATTATTGTCTTTATCCTCTTTTGTATTTGGGTGCCCAAATAAGAGCATTATTGTAATTTGCTCACATATTAGAAATATTATGTGTGGGTGTGAACAATAACACACACACACACATCACATTCAGACGGACCCTTTTTTTCATCTTCTTTCTCTTCATTCTTCCTACTTGGTATTAGAGAACCTCTTGATTGTGAGACGACTTTTTTTTTGCTGACCTAGACTATAGGGGAGACCAACTGATGTCAGACCGTCACCGGATGACGTTAGTAGTCTGTACATGTGGCGACATCAGTTCTTGAATTTGGTAGGGTCTGATGCACCCTGATTTTAGAAATATTTTGGGATGATTCTTGTAGTCGTTTGAAGCTTCTATGAACTAATTTGATTTTTCCAATAAAAAATGGCTAAAAATCCAGATTTGATGTTGGATCTTTCTCTGTAATCTTGAAGATTTTTTTTTTTTTTCTGCATAAAACCAAGTTTCATTGGCTTGTTTCAAGTTTCTAGATTAATAGGAAGAGGTCTCGTATTTTTCTAAACCCTAGAAAATTTTTGGGAGATTTTTCTCTCCATGTAATTTGCCGCTAGTTAGCTTTTGCCCACGTTTTTGGCTTCCAACCGTGTTTTGGCCTTTTTTTTTTGGTTGATTTGCTGTTGGGCTTCCTTTTTTTGGCTATCGATAGGTATGGAGCAGTCCAAGGATGTGCCGACTACCTTCATTGTGCTTCTTGGAAATGTGGGCACCTCTAATAGCATGATAACTACAATGAAACTCTATGGGATAAACTTTTTGGAATGATCCCAATCAACTAAATTTACCATCATAGGAAGTAGTAAGTTGGGATTTATTACAAGGAGGGAAGTGAAGCCGAAGCCTGCTGATCCAAATTTGCTAAATGGGAGCAACATAACTCGTTAGTAATGTCATGGTTAGCTTGTTCAATGCAATCTCATGTTGCCCATAACCATATGTTCCTATCCATTGCTAAAGATATTTGGCATAGAGTTGTTGCTACTTACTCTAGACTACCTACTTTGAACTCCTTTTTGCTTTCCTGTTCTTGCCCATAACTGTATGTTCCTATCCATTGCTAAAGATATTTGGCACAGAGTTGTTGCTACTTACTCTAGACTAACACATCTGCTAAGTGTCCACCACAATCTTAACTTTCGCATTCACGTAATCTTTTACCTAACACATCTGCTATTGAACCTAATGTCTCAAATTTTGATCTTGATCTTTCTATTGCTATCTGGAAAGGAAAGCGGAAATGCACAACCAATTACCCCATTACTAACTATATTTCCTATGTTACTCTTTTGCCCTCCTATTGTGCCTATATTTATGCTATCTCTTTTGTGTTCATTCCTCATAGTGTTACAAAGGCAGTGTAGTTACCTCAATGGAAAGAAGCTATGAACTAGGAGATGGAGGCTGTCATAAAGAACCAAACTTGGGAGATTGTTTCTCTTCCCAAGGACAAGATTCCTGTTGGGTGCAAATGGGTTTATATTGTTTTTTATTGTATACGATAACTTTCATTAAAACATTAGGTTAATGAGTACAATTGTCACTACCCACAAAATGTTGACCCCTTAGTTTATCTCAATGATTACCACACAACCCAAAAAAAAATGTCCCCAAGGGTTTCCTTGCTTTGCCAAAGTATCAGCTAAACCATTGGCTGACCTCCTAGACCATTTGAAGATTGCCCCAGTTCCCTTGCTAAGTGGAAAATTTCCCTCATTTTCTGTCTATAATTTCAAACCCCCAAGCTGTTTGTTTGCGTCTAGCCTAATAGTAACTTAGAATCTCCTTCAACCTCAAGGCTTTGTAGTCTTCATTGCTTAGCCAGCCACAAGCCCAACCAAACTCTAAGAATGTCCTCAACTAGAGGATAGCTACTCTTGTGCCACATCCGAAGGAGGAGTCCACCTGAAACTAAAGAAAGACGAGCACCAAATCCAAACAAAAGAAGCAAAAAGACGAGATAACAATGGGTGTGTAATTGTCTCACAACAGCCCAGGCAAAGGCTACAAAACATGAGGTGACATGCAGCAATTTGGCCTTCTTTTTTGAAGCTTGTCCAAAGTTTGATTTTTTGGAGCACCACCTCCCAGCAGAAAACCCTTTTATGGGTACAGGTTTACACTGTTGTGGTAGCAAAGGGGTATACTCAAATCTACGGCATTGATTATTAGAAAACATTTGCTCTTGTCGCTAAAATGAATTCTATCCGGATGATTATTCCTTTGGCTACCCACTAATCTTGGCTTCTATATCAGATGGAAGTAATGAAAGCCTTCCTCAATGCGGACCTACAAGAAGGGGTTTATATGGAATTGCCTCCAGGGGTGAACCTCCCTGACAGTGACACTTTGTCATCTAAAGAAGGCGATGTATGGACCCAAATAGTCTCCTTAAGCTTGGTTTGATAGATAAAAGGGCTGTTTTGAAGATTGGATTTTCACAGTCTTAGCTTGATCATACTCTATTTATAAGAAGAGTTAATGGATGTGTGACTATGTTAATTGTGTATGTTGATGATATTGTTGTTATTGGGGATGATGATCTGGGAATCAATCGGTTGAAATCCTTCCTTGCTTCTGAATTTGAAATTAAGGATCTTGGTGATCTCAAATATTTTCTTGGTATTGAAGTTGCAAGATCAAAGAAACGAATTTTACTAGGAAATTGGGGTGCAAGCCTGCTGATACCCGAATTGATCCTAATCACAAGTTGAGTGCTACTGTTGGAGATATACTCCCAAACAGGGGGCGGGGGTTATCAAAGATTAGTTGGTTGGCTCCTTCACCACTTGACTAGACCTGACATATCCTATGTAGATGGTGTGGTAATCCAGTATATGCATGACCAGGACTTCTCATATGCAAGCTGTCAGCACAATTCTTGCATATTTGAAGTGTTGTCCTAGTAGATGGATTCTATACTCCAACCATGGACATTTGAAGATTGAGGCTTAAACAAAGGCTAACTGGGCAAGATTTGTTGACGATAGGAGATCTACATCCGACTATTGTACTTTAGTAGGGGCAATGTGATTTCATGGAGAAGCAAGAAACAATCTGTTGTTGCACGTTCTAGTACAGAGGTAGAATACAAGGCAATGACACATGGTGTCTCTAAGTTGCTTTGGTTAAAGACCTTATTGACATTAATGGGAATTCGGATAGATACTCCAATGAGACTTTATTGTGACAACCAAGTAGTTATGAACATTGCTCATAATCCTGTGTAACATGACCGTATAAAGCACATAGAAGTAGAGTAGACCAACATTTCATCAAAGAGAAGATAGCCAATGGAGAGATTTGCCCACCCTTTGTGAGAACAGGAGACCAACTTGGTGATTGTCTCACCAAGGGAGTCCACAAACCAAAGTTTGACAGTAATTTAGCCAAGCTGGGCATGATGGATATCTATGCTCAGCTTGAAGGGAAGTGTTGAGAATACGTTGTGTTGTAATTGTCTTTATCCTCTTTTGTATTTGGGTGACCAAATAAGGGCATTATTGTAATTTTCTCAAATATTATAAATATTATGTGTGGGTGTGAACAGTAACACATACACAGTTACACACCCCACATTTGAAAGAACCCTCTTCTTCCTCTTTTCTTCTTCTACCTCTTTTTCTTTTTCTTCTTCTTCATTCTTGCTACTTATATAAAGACTGATGGGAGTATCTCAGTATCTTAGTGCTTGGGCATTCGATCAAATATTAGGTTGGATGGTTAGTTGGCTTTTTTGTATAGGCAAAAAAGTTGAGGAACAGAATAGTTCTGCCCCATCTATGAAACCTCATTCATATGGGTCGGGAGAACATCGAGCTCTTAACTGGTTCTTTCACTAGACACGGTGTTGGCAGGGCAGATATGTATTGGATTTTAGGGCCTGGTTTGACAATTGACATGATAAAGGGTTTTTTTGGTACTAACATGATTATGGGTTGGAGGAACCAACAACTTCACTTATAAACAATAATGGGTTATGCTCTCTGGAAAATGCTATCTACTGTCTTCTACATATATCACTAAATTTCAGATATGTTAATGATAGAAAAGGTTGAAAATCAAATTTTATGAAAAAATCTATATTTCTTTGGGAACACTATCATGCAGAGAGATTAGTCTCTTGTCTCCACATTATCTTTTAGATGGTGGTTTTCCCCACGTTTCTTGTAAACTATACCTTCTCTTTTTCCTTAATAATGATTATCTGGATAAGTACATGTTTTACACTCAGGGTTTGATGCACATTTATAAATACCCTTTTTTATTGAAAATTCTGTGGTGGTTTGATGGTTTTTTACTGTTATGTACTCATGTTTTTGGATTAAACTGCAATTTGTATTCTAGCACTGCTATGTTTAATCCATTTATACTGATTTTCCTTTTCATACTATTCAAGTAAAGTAAGTTAATTTCCTTTTATTGTATTCTTTCTTTTCATTTTTTTTTTCATTTTCTTTACATATTCATTCTGTTCTTTTGTTGACCCCTCTAGCTAATCTTTAATTCTTTATCTCTATTTTGCAGTTAAAAGGGAGTGTGAGGATGAATTTATCCTATTTTTTGAAGACAAATGTCAAGAAGATGGCAAAATTGACAAGTATTACAAAAATAAAGAGCTTAATTTTCAACAAGAAATTGTATATGGTGTCCCCACTCACTGTCAAAATGATGGATCTTTCTTATACTTGTTGACACCTGTGTATGCACCACCATCTGTTGACTGCGTCTCTAAATGGCTACTAAATGAAGCCAAAGGTATGAAATGTAAACAGCTTAAATATATGCCATATCAATTACATTTAGATTTTTACTATCTTTTGGGTTTTGGAACACACTGAGAGAGAATTCCCATGCAGGAGTATCAGAGACTTCTCCAAAATCAAAGAACTATCTAGATATTTTCAATGTGAAGGATAAGTTTCAAGACCCCCAGTCTGTCTCGTCTAGTGGTCTGATAACTTTACAAGGTTCTCAGTCAGATGCTTGTTGTGAGACATTGCCACAGTCTTTTTCCTTATCTCATACGAAGCCTATCCTGGATCTTTTGAATCAAGGGAGCTCCAGGAAACAAGTCAATCTCTGTCATCCTGGGGTGACAACAGAATTCCACAGTGAAACGAATATAAAAGAAAAGGAATGCCCTGAAAGCTGGCTAGATATTTCACAGATTTCCGGTCCAGATAGATCAAAGCTTACTCCTCTCAGTCAAATTGGATTCCGTGATCCTGCTAGTGTTGGTTCTGGTCAACAACTAACATTGCTAAGTATAGAGGTATTTTGTATTGTCTTTTCTGGTATATTGCCTCTGAAGGACATTTATGCAAATTATAGTAATATCTCTCAAAATGTATCTTGTCAAAGCAGATGTAGCATCATGTATTTGACAAAAGTGACTGCAATATTGTTCATATAGATAAATTGATAATGTCTCAATCTCATAGGTGAAAGTATAATTAATGATTCTATTGGAAATTTCTAAGGTGTAATACATTCTTAGCTTGCTAAAGTGGTTCATTCTCATAAATTGGGATCTTCATAATGCATTCCATCTGTATGTTTAGATACATTTATTTGATTACTTCAATAATTTACTAAGAAGATAGGAAAGGATATGAGAATAGTGGTCTCCAAAGATGGAAGGGCTATACAACAAAGATACATGAGGCATGAACCCTGAGCTGCCAAGGAGACAGATGAACACAAGGGATCTCTTGTTACATCCACCCCAGCTTCAAGTCAGCAGCTGCACTAGTTGTTCTCAAGATCCACTTGAACAGAATATTCTGCTTGGATATCAGGCTTCTTGCCTTAGGAATAAATGATAGTCTCCTAGTTCCTAATGAGTAACTCAATTCAGCTAACTAATTACTATTGGAAGTCTCCTTCAATTATGATCTCTGTCTCGCCCAAAATTATTACCCTTGGCTAAGTGGTCGTTGAAGCGTAGCTTTAGGTGTCGAATCCACAGAGAAGCTGATTAAACCAGCAAAAGGAGTTATCGCTAAGAGTGAATAACCTAGAAAAAATGATTTTCTAAAAATAAAAAGAAGAGCAAAAATATTTAAATAAAAGTAACGATGATTAAAGGATGAAAAGTAGTATTGTGATGAACAAGGCTTCGAGATTCACTTGATCGATTTGCTTAACTGGTCTCGACTTTGATTCCTATTTATTACTCAATTGCAAGTTTCACATCCCAAACAAACAATCGGAAAATATAACTTTGAAACCAATGACAAGAACAAAAGTATTTGTTTTGAGAGAATTAATTTTCGATGAAGAACAAAATGTTCTATTCTTACAAGCTACCCAAGAACAACAACATATCAGATTGACAGTATTGCAGTAAAGGATCAACTCATAAAATAAATCTACCCAATCAATTATTTTCTAACAAATTGAACATAAAAAGAGCATGACTAATCTTATATCGAAATTGAAGAATATAACTTCAGGGTTTATCAAAATAATAAAAGAAATCTCTCAAGAACAAAATTAAACATTGAAATCTCTCAAGGAATGAAAGTAAAATAACAAGTAAAACTCATCGATCAAGATCCTCCCTAGCCTTGCTGAAGCTTTAGCCGTGCTTGGACGCCATTCTTCCCCTCTTCTCTTTTGTGAAAGACTCAGAAAATAATGCCAAAATAACCTTTGGAAGTCGTCCCCCTTTTAGGTTAGATTTTTCTTTTTTATTGTGCTGCCAAGCTCCTCAATCTGCTCAGCCTGGATCCGCGTCTTATCCCCCAATTTTCGCCTAGATAGAGATTGATTTAGAGAAATCTATCAACAGATGAATTGTAGCTCTATCTCTTAGCTGTCCATAGCCTCAAGAATCACCGAATTTCGACATCTGTAAAGAAAGATATGGCCAAAATACTGGACTCTGTTTAGTGTAAAACGGGAAACGAATCAGCACTCATACTTGGGCCATGGAACTTGGGTTTGGGTTTCTTGGACCTATGTTTGGGCTTTCCTCCATTCAATTATTAATTCATTCAGCATAAAAATTGCACAAATAATAAATTTGACATTTATAAAATTATTATGGAAAAATATTACTTTTAAGCTCTTTATTTTACAAATGTCAATTGTTGAGCACACTTTAGATATGCATTTTCATGCTTTCGTCAATCTCCTCAAAGCCAATGCAGAATTTGAGGACATGAAGACTTCACCTATCCTTGATGGTCTTGGATTTCTTAGGGAGCAACTATAGTAATTAGTTATTTCTCATTGGTGCTGTAAATGGTCTTCTTTGCACACGACAAAACCTTCTTAGTCTACTTTCTCTCATCTTATCACCTATTGGGGCTAACTTTCAGGTTCTCACAAATATGTCCACATTGGTGCTGTAAATGGTCTTCTCTGCACACGACAAAACCTTCTTAGTCTACTTTCTCTCTTCTTATCACCTATTGGGGCTAACTTTCAGGTTCTCACAAATATGTCCACTTTTTTCCCACCCCTTTTAGGTTTCCCACTCATCGATCTAAAGATTCACTTTGTTCTACTAAGACATTTTTGGACATGTTTTTTGATTGTCAACACTCTACTCCATAAACAATTTTGGACTTGTAACTGATTTATAAGGTTTTCCTTTTACCTCAAGTGATATTTTCCTATCACATAGGACTCCAGATGCACTCCTCCATTTTTCCAATCCCATTTTAGTCCAATTGGTGGCGTCCTCAATCTCTCCCTTGTTACGGATTACCGAACTATGGCAATGAAAATGGATACATTTAGATATAGTAGAAATCACTATTTGCTGATTCAATCAAGCTTCTTGTGAGAGAAAGAGGGGGAAGGTGAAGATTTCAGTAGTAGAGAAGGAAGGAGAAGAAGAAAAGAGTAAGAGGTCAACTAGAGTTATGAGAAAGTTAACCCTAGTCGCCAGTCCCTCATTATATTTATATTTAACTTAAAGATGAGATATTACAAGGATGCCCTTAGTAGGGCGGCTACTAAAACTGAATAGTCACAACTTTAAAAAATAAAAACTGAATAGTCACAAACTAAAGACAAACCAGGCTACTCAACAAAACAAACCGGCCCACTCAACACTCCCCTTCAAGTTGGGAGTAAATGTCACACAT